CATATAACATAACTAAATTCAACCGTTTATGAAATATTTAAATTATTTTTAAGATAATAAGTTGAAATAGTTTGTCTTTCTCTGTCTGAGTAGGCCATTTTTACTTATTTAACAAGACATATTGACATAATGTCACTATAATAATTTATTTTCAATAAAAATTTTGGTATACTGAGGCTTCTTGATTTCTAACAGTTTAAAAAAACATTTAATGATAACATTTCGAATGCGAATATTTCAGAAATAGTTGAATTTAGGATATGGTTTGTTTTATGAATTATGCTCAGAATTTTAGAAGGAATCGAAAAATAAATTCATATATAGGGTGATCCATTGAAAAAAAATAAACTTTTTGTTTTTCCCTGTATATTGATCAATTTTTAATTTTTTTTAATACGTAGAAAAAAAGTATTTTTTAGTACCTACATAACCAAACTTTTAAATTTTTTGGGACACTTAAAATAAAAAAGTTAAAGGGGGCGACATTATAGGGGATCACCCTGTACATATGTATAAATATTTTTATATATATATATATATATATATATATATATATATATATATCAGTTCGGTTCCAGCGATCGAGAAGACACGTCGCGTGCGGGAAAGCTCTTGAAACGTAAAAGTTTAAAGATGAAACCAACAATAATTAAAAAAAAGGTGCAAACTAATAAGTGAAACAAACATTTTCATAAAGTGCAAACTAAAATGGTGTAACGGTCATTGAGGAGTGGAGTGTTGAGTGATATGAATGAGTTGGGTGCCACCTGTCATTGGAGGCTTTTCACTGGACGGACGGGGGAGGTCGGAGAAGAGGGGAGGTGGCATCCGCAAAAAAAAAAATCTGATAAGTTTTACTTTAAGAGTATGCATGACCTGATACAAATCTGCAATATAAATACGGCAGATCCCAGCAAGCATTTTCCGTTATTTGTCACCATTAACATTGCCCGTATTCATTTTATTAAACATAACATTTATTTTACTTGAAAATGTTAAAATAACTTTAAAATATGATTATGTTAAGGACATATTTTACTCTTTAAACAATTGTTTTGTTTTTAATTACTATCATTGCAAAATTGTATTAAAAAGTGTTAAAAATTCTTACACGGGCAATGTTAATGGTGATAGGTATCGTTAAAGTGTTTATTGGGATATCTTTAAAACCTATGAAGGGCACGCGGCGTGGGGCAATAAGTCTGTCAACAGCAAATGCGTCCCAATCGAGACCGAAAATAAACCCTGGACTGACAGAGTAAACTAACATTGATCATATAATTCTAACACATTAAAAAAAAGGGCCTAATAGCCAAACTCGAGATTTGTAAACATTAGACAACAGAATAATCGCGCTTGCGATTTGTTTGACTAGTGAATAAATGCAATGCTTTGGAATTTGATAAACAAAGACGGAACTCTACCACAAAACGTGCTTGGGACAAAAATTATTAAAAACAACTGACACACTTTACCAAGGGCAGGAACTATCTGACCAGGACACGGACAATGACAATAACGAACAAGACAAAGACCTCGACTAGGAAACTACACCCCTGCAGCGAAATAACAACTCCCCAACTCCAAATAGTAATCCCAAATGTTTGGAGTAATACTAATCGACTGGTCTAGGGGGATTCCGCGTCGTACTTAGTTTTAAGTCGGCGTAATTGTCCCCCAAAAACCAACACCCTCCCGTCCCTCCTCCATACCCCACTGAGCGTATAGCATAGGCTCGGCGAACCCGGGAAAGGCTATTATAACTATTCGCCTCTCGCTCTCGAGCCCCAAATAGGGGACAGTACGGAACGCAATGGACATTTGCACCCAGCAAACACGGGTGAAGCCGTGCAGTTGCTGGGGAAGAACAAAAATCGGCGTAAGTAAACATAGGCCTGTACGGGGTTCGAGAGTCAAGAGGAAATGGGGCTGGTTATACGTCTCTTATACTCATATACTCATACTCATATATATATATATATATATATATATATATATATTACGGTGGGTCAAAAAAATCGACTATTTTTATTTTGACTTCTGCCACTGAAAAATCGGTTTCTGGGCACCTTCAAAACATGCTTAGCAACGATGAGCTCTTAACTTTGATGGGAAGATCCGCCTCATTACAGTTTTGCATATTTTTCTTAGTCCCCTACAAAAAAATTCATATCTTATCATTCGTTAATCATACAGCAAAACTCTAAAGGAGTTATTTGTAGAAAATTAAATTTTCTACAAAAAAGATCTCTTATACTTTTTTGATCAATCTAACTATTAAAGAGATATTCAAGGTCAAAGATTGAAGAATTTTAAGAAAGATAACTTTTCTGTTCTGAATTTTTTAACTTACTGAAAAAAAATTATCGACAATTGAGATTTTACTTTGTCTATCGGAAATTGAACGCTCTACAAAAAAGGTCTCTTAGGATTTATCGATTACTGTAACCAATCAAAAGATATTCGCATTGGAATGTCAGTGCATACTGCTATTCATATGCGAATATCTTTTGATTGGTTAGAGTAATCGATAAATCCCAAGAGACCTTTTTTGTAGAGCGTTCAATTTCCGATAGACATAGTAAAATCTCAATTGTCGATAATTTTTTTTCAGTAAGTTACAAAATTCAGAACAGAAAAGTTATCTTTCTTAAAATTCTTCAATCTTTGACCTTGAATATCTCTTTAATAGTTAGATTGATCAAAAAAGTATAGGAGATCTTTTTTGTAGAACATTTAATTTTCTACAAATAACTCCTTTATAGTTTTGCTGTATGATTAACGAATGATGAGATATGAATTTTTTGTAGGGGACTAAGAAAAATATGCAAAACTGTAATGAGGCGGATCTTCCCATCAAAGTTAAGAGCTCATCGTTGCTAAGCATGTTTTGAAGGTGCCCAGAAACCGATTTTTCAGTGGCAGAAGTCAAAATAAAAATAGTCGATTTTTTTGACCCACCCTAATATATATATAAAATCCACACATATTCACAAATTACAATCTATAATAATAAACTAAACTTATTAATAAAATACAATAGATCTGAACACCAAATTTTATTACTTTTGTTTCCTGACATACGAAAAGTGGAATATTTTTTAAACGGGGACAAGATGGGACTAGTTATTAATTAATTTGAGTAGCAGAATATTGGTGCTATTAAATTAAAATGAATCTATCATCGGGACTCACCCTGATGTATATCTAATCTATTCGCATACCTATGTTAAAAATGCTTAAAATTAATCACCTAAAAATTAGTTTTTAAATAATGTCAATAAAACTATTATTAAATTTGATAAATATAAAAATTAATATCAACGTAATGGTAAAAACCTGGTTCATCCATACTAATCACTAATGCCCGTATGCACCGTTTTAAAGCCTAAGCCTAGTTAGAAAATCGCGATTATGTTAATCTTTCTCCATCATAATGCACAGTACGCGGATTGTGCAATTTGGATTGGCGATTTGGCAAAGCTGTTTTATTTGTCAAAAAACCACAAAAAACTGTCAATCGTACATTCAACAAAATACATAGAAAAACCACTATGACAAAATATGTTGACAAACTAAAATTTAAATTTTGTTATATGCCTAATAACTTTTATATGGAAATTTTTTTTGGATCATCCTTCTTCCGTCTATAAAATGGGAGACCAGAATTCCTAACTTTTCACCAGTGGAAAAAGAAAATCTAATGATGATTGTTATGAGGTATTCTTAAATATTGGAAGACAAAAAAAAACCAACACAACTGGGCTTCAATATTCAATTTCATTAAAAAAGTTTAGAACGGTGGGTCAATCGAAATCGGCGAAAAAACGAAAAATTGTCCATGGTGTCAAAATATTCGCTCCTAATGGATTTAGAAGAACTATAATAATAATAAAAAATAATAATAATAATAATTTGTAGAAGATGATCAAGATATTCTGGACATAATTAATTTTGGATTTCCGCGACGGAAATATATGAGTTTTTTATTAATATGCCTAGTTATTCGTATTCGTTTTCGGCAAATATCAGTTTTGATATTCTTATTTGTAAAAGTACTATTCTTTGCACCAACAGAAGAGTAACAAAACTTTAGGTACCAAAACTACTGGAACTCTATGCAGAACCAAAACACTGGGTATGGAAACAAAACCAGCAACACCACCTGAGTAATGGAACTTCTCAGTACAGAAACAAAACTTTAGTAACGTTTCTTCACTAGAATAATTTTTTTAAATTAAAAATTAAAATTTTTTCAAGAATTGGGCATTTTATATTTTAAAAAAAATTGTTCCAGTGACGAAGCATTTCTATAATTGGGTTTTTCAATCATGACCCTCACGTGATATTGCTAACATTCATATTGTATTTCCACCCTACAGGAGTGCTGGGACGTAGCATATAGCAATAAATAAACGTATGTCTAATAATACCACAACAAGCTGCTTTACATTGTTGCCATAGGGCTCATGACTTAAAAATTCAACTATATAGTTTGGTTTCTGTACCAAGAAGTTCCATAACGATTTTGTTACTCAGGTGGTGTGGTTAGTTTTGTTTCCATACCCAGTGATTTAGTTCTGCTTAGAGTTTCAATAATTTTGTTACTCTTCTATTGCTTTTTGGAAACGATTTTCAATATTCCATTTAATATTGTTTTAATCCTTATATGTTACTCGGAACGATAACGGCAGAAACGTTTCGAACAGTCCCTGTTCTTCTCTATTTATCATCGTATATACCCAGGACACATATACCTGCATGGGAGCATCCAGCCCTGGTAAATACCCTTGTGCCTTTTTACAATCGGCGCCTGTGCTGCACAGGCTGTGCATGTGTTTGTTGGACAGAGTGTGTGACCAGTACCTAGCTAGATTTGCGCCTTGACAAAAATATTAAATGGATTTGCGCAAAATGTAGATAAAACATTTGACTTAAGGGCGTTATTATAATAAAGTATTTTAAAAACCACAAATTTAATAAACTTTGTAATTACTAACCTCAACTTCCACATCAGAATCTTCTGAAAAATACTCAACATCTTTACTGTCTTCAATAGTTTTAATAAGACCTTTACAATTCGTTTTCTCTATCATACTGAAAACCAGCTTTAAAACTATCTTTGAATTAATATTATTTTTCTTTAAACAACTGGGTACTTAATTTTTTTTGTAGTTATTTAAAACTAAAATAACCCCAAAACACACATGCTTATACCATAAAATAACACTAGGGTGCAATGCTGCCACCAAAAATTTAATCTCGTTTACTTTTGATGTTAAATACTACTTAAAACCTAATTACCTTAGATCAAAGTGTTCTAAGACCGAGAAGAAATCTGACAGCGCCGCGAAAATATGTTCATAGATTAGGTGCGAATCTCGAGTTGAGAGGACGCTATTCTCATGAGATGTGGGCGTGTTTCACTTAAGTTTTGACAGGCTGCATTCTTAAAATCATGCAATAGTTTGGTTCTCCTAAAGCAGAAAATAGTTTCCGAGAGAAGAACGCACTAACTTATCTTAAATTCAATAATGCAGCCTGTCAAAACTTGAGAGAAACGCCCACTTCTGCTATGAGAATAGCGTTCTCTTAACTCGAGAATCGCCACCCTCAGTTAATCTCAGCTCATGTTCTGTGGCTCACATCGGTAAAATTTGCAAATGTGCGCGTTCACTCACCATAAAGTGAGCTGAGATTTTTCCTCCCCCCTAAACAGTGTTGCCACCCCTATTACTTAAGTAATAGATCTGTTACTTTTAGCAAAAATATATTACCCTATTACGAAACAATGTAAATCTATTACTTTTTTCTTTCCTAGTAGGACATTTTTTTTAATATTCTATTGTGGTCCTATTGTTGCCACTGGCAACTTGCCAGACAGCCCACAAAAGATTATTGTCGTAGCGCATCAAAACTATTGTAGAATTAAATTTTTCTTGGTTTTTCTAATATAAGTGTTTTAAATCTTGTTATATAATTTAAATTTATTATTTAAAAAAATAAAAAATAAAGAGTTAATTAAAATAAACTTATTGTTTATCCAAAATTTAAGATTTTGTTAATATTGGGTAGTTTTATTCCCTTGTGCAATTTGATTTACATGAAATTATTGTACATAGAAGGGACACAGCACAAAAAAATAATTAATTTTAAAATTTCGAGTTATAAGCAGGGTTGGGTATCTACCTACATTTTTGTTTTCGACATGTAGAAAACCTTTTTCGACAGTAGAAAACGTAAAAAAGTAGAATACTGTCAAATATCAAAAAATGTGAGGTTATGCAAGTTTGTTGTTTATTATGATTTGTTAAATGTTGGGAAAATCAGACACCTACCATAAATTTGAAGTTATTTGGAGTTTTTTAACATTATTATGGTGAGAAAAAAGGGCCACGTTTGGTTGGGAGACCCCAACATAATTTTTGGCATGAGGGCAAATTTTTATCAATTATAGAGAAGTGGAAGGAGAAGGTCGAATAAGGTAATTTACGTAGGTAGAAAACCCTATAGTTTTTTACCCTTTTCTACCAAGGTAAATTACCTAAGGTTTTCTACTGACCCAACCCTGGTTATAAGTCGAAATTTTAGGGTAAAATTTCGAATTAAATTTCGAAATTTTAAAATTTCGTGTAATAACTCGAAATTTTACTCTAAAATTTCGAGGTATAACACGAAATTTTAAAATTTTGAGTTTTAACTCGAAATTTTAGGTTAAAATTTCGAATTGTATCTCGAAATTTAAAAGTTTCGTGTTATAACTCGAAAATTTACCCTAAAATTTCGAGATACAAGTCGAAATTTTAACCTAAAATTTCGAGATACAAGTCGAAATTTTAACCTAAAATTTCGAGTTATAACTCGAAATTTTAAAATTTCGAGATACAAGTCGAAATTTTAACCTAAAATTTCGAGTTATAACACGAAATTTTAAAATTTCGAGATTTAATTCGAAATTTTACCCTAAAATTTCGACTTATAACTCGAAATTTTAAAATTAATTATTTTTTTTTTGTGCTGTGTCCCTTCTACGCCTTCGTACGATACTGCACATGCTGTGCGGGGGAATCAGTTTGAATTAAGTCGGAAATAAAGTGGAGGGGATAAAGAAATTATTGATTTGTTAAGATTTTAAATAACATAACCTAATCTTATTTAGGTGATTTTTTACAATAAAACTTAAATGTTGTAAATTAGCTATAAACTTATTATAATAAATATAATTCGAATAAAATTGTTTTTCAGAAGTAGAAAAACACTTTTTACAATAAAATTAAACAAAACATGTCAAAGTGAAGTTTTTTTATAAATTTTTATTTTGTCATAAAATTAATATTCATATTAAAATTGTTGTTTTTGTTTGTCACCCAATTATGAAAAGAATAAGTAATACACAATCCATGGATTGTGTGGATTGTGAAGTAATATAGATCGGGAAACGTCTTTAATATATACTCTAATTTGTTCACTGAAGATGCACAGAGGGTGCAGAAAGGTATTATCCATAAAGCCTGATTTATAGATTGCCTTTCTTTCTCCCGTAAAAGATGAACAATACGAAAATCGTAGTGCCATTTATAGATTTCCGTACGGGAATCTATAAATGGTACTACGATTTTTGTATTGTTCATCGACGATGAAGGGTTTCGTGGGTTGAATATTATATTGTTCTATCAGCAATTTTGGTGGAAAATGAAATTTTTACATGAAAAAGAAGGTTTAACGAATATCTATCTATCTAAATAAGTATCACTGTTAAATATAGCCCAGAAATACTAAAAACGACATTATTATTTTGTTCTATGTGCGAAATTCAAATATAATTAACTATTATAATGTTCTAACCACAGACCAAGTTTGTAGGTCTGTGGTTCTAACAAACCAATTGGTTTAATCAATTAAATTGCAAGTTTTCGAGTTGTCACTGACAGCCTGTCAGAATAACATATCTGTCATCGGCAGTTTAAGGAATTACGTCGTAGGTTTTTGCACAATCCACACAACAAGGTCTGTTCTATCTCGTACTAAAAATACAAAAAATCACTGCAACACTGCGGCCATTTTCGTTGTTTACAATTTTTGTGCTTTGGGTTTGTGCTCTGTTTATACAGATTAATAATCGTTTTAAACGTTGTGTTTCTCATAGTAAGCCTTAAAAGAGTCCTTAAAGTGCTAAGAACATTTTACTCCTCTATTGTAAAAAATAAACTTTATTCTATCAGGGCTGTCATTAAACTGTCAAATGTCAATTTTAAGGTTAAATTATAACCCACAAATTAACCTTCAAATTGCCAATGTACGTGGAAATCCACGCATTGTGTGGAATTAATTTTTTTGTGTGTAATTTGTGTGTAATAAATAAATGTGTGGAATTTGCGTGTAAACTTTATCTTTAAATTAACAATGCTTATAACATGCATTTAAATCCGCAGAGTTTCTGCGGTAATCACCAAAGAAACCTAACAAAACCAAAATCCCTAATGTGTGGAATAGTTGGCAAAATTGTGGAATTTTGACAGAATCTGTGTGTAAATTATGTCATCACCATTGGCAACACTGCATTTGACAGCCCTGATATAATAAGGTATATTTATTATAAGAGGAGTAAATGCATGGTTGTCCTTAGCACTTAAAGGCCTTATTTAAAGCTTACAAGTGCCTCTGTAAGAAACACAACGTTTAAAACAATTATTAAACAGCACAAACCCAAAGCACAAAAATTGTAAACAACAAAAATGGCCGCCGTTAAACTCGGTGCAGTGTTGCAGTGATTTTTAGTATTTTTAGCATGAGATAGAACAGACCTTGTTGTGTGGATTGTGGGTTTTGGTAGTTTAAGTGATTATTTTATTTAAAAATAAATGATCCCAGATAGAATGAGACGTCCTACGGATATCCTAGTTAGGGCCTCACCAGACCGACTGGACCGTATATCCTGAGGACGTCCCACGACCGTCTGCTTTTTAAGCGTGATACATATTTTAGTTCTTATAAAAATTTTAATATGTAAACAAAAGAACCTATAGGTATACCTACCATGTTGATTTTTAGCTGTTGATTTAAACTTTTAATTAAAACTATAAATTGACACCTGTTTGGTGGCTATCCTTAGGACGTCTTTAGGACGTCGACGTACGATCGTGATGAAATTGGTAAAAACATCAAATTAATAGCGTTGTGCAAATTTTACTAAGATAATGCTTCAATTACCATAATAAAATGTGCACAAATCTACTAATTTGCTGTTTTTACCAATTTTATTACGATGTCCTACAGACGTCCTATAGACGTCCTACGTTCTAAGGATAGACACTAAACAGGTGTCAATTTATATCAAGAACAGCGCTGTTCTTGATATTACTTTAAAAAAATAAAAAACAAATAGGTAGGTACATGCGATTTAAGAAATGTGGAACCTACCCAGTAAACATTTGTGATATCACGAAAAAGTCAAGACGTGACATGTCACAACTTGATATCCAATTGCTGGCACAGTGATTAAGTTTGTCGTTTTATGTCAGCAGTGACACGCGCGTGATCTTTTTATGTCACGACGTGACCCCGCAGGCCCTGCAGGCCCCGCAGGCCCTGCGGCGCAGGGACGAAACTTTTCATTTAAATGACATTACTTTAATTTGGTCATAAAACGTTAATTACGTACCTATTATGTTAGTATTGTTAGACACGTTAATTATAGGTTCCCAGCTAGCACAAGTCTGTCCTAAGGACGTCCTAAGGAAAGCCTTACAGGATATTGGGATATCCCAAGGATATCCTAGGACGTCCTCAGACCTCCTCAGGACATCCCAACCATGGCCGAGTGGTGCAAAAAAGGCCAGCCTACAGACGTCCTGCAAATGGCCTTTAGGATATCCTAGGGATATCCCTAGGTCCATATAGGTCCAGGAATAGGACATCCTAAGGATGTCCCCTGAAAGTCCCATGGGTATATGTAGGTCCAGGAATGGGATGTCCTGAGGACATCCTCTGAATGGCCTTATTATTTGTTGGGGATACATTTTAAACAATCAAATACCACTTTATTACTTTATAAAATATATTATTTTAATTCTGTATACATATATATAATTTTACACAGCCAATTATATAAAATAAAAAATAAACACCAATTATAAAAGTTAAATAAATAATA